ATTCATATAAAAAAAAAAAACAAAAACAAAAAAAAGGAAAATAAAAAAAAATAAAATTAAATTAGTAAAAAAAAAAAAAAAAAAAAAAAAAAAAAAAAAAAAAAAACCAGAAAAAAAGTAAAAAAAAAAAAAAAGAAATCAAGAAACCATTTGTAATTCTCTATTTAGATATTTTAATATCATAAAATCTACAAAATATATTTATATACATATATTAAATTTACTATTATTTAAATAAAATAAAAAAATTACATTATTTTTTAATAACCTTTTTAAATTTACATGGCTTTACTTTTGAAATAATCATTAATGAAATATTATCTTTGAAAAAAAAAATTCAAAATTACAAGTAAACTGATATATATATATATATATATTTATATAGTATATGTATGTTATATTAAGAAATATCCCTTTAATCTTAAATATATTACTATGAACTATGAAAATAATATTTATTAAAACCTATTATAAAGTTAATGTATTTTTAGAAACAAATTTTAAATACCCAAAATTTTTATTTTTAAACTTTAAAATTAAATTAATCACAATTTTGGTTAGTATTAATTTCATCAGTTCAAACTATTTTTCTTTATTTGTAAAGTACTTAAACAATGTAAAAAAAAAAAAAGGTAGATTAATTTATCCAAAAAGAAATCCTTTATGTATTATCCCCCTTTCTTTTAACAATTGAACTTTTTATCATTACCAAAAATAGAAACTTGCCTTCCCTAAACCATTAAAACTTATTATATTAATTTGGTTATTATAATAGTATATGAGAGCGCCTCATCTCTTTTTAAACAATCAAATCATTGATTATCTAATATATTTAACCGGATAAAGTAAAAGCTATCACATTCCGTTTAATTCCTTTGAAAGTAAAGATTTTTTTTTGGTTTATGGACAAGATTATGTCATGTAGATCACGTGTACAGAACATATCTCAGCCAATGAACTTTCTAGAAGGTTTGAACGCATTATTTCCTCTCGTTTTAATTTGTTGGGTAAAGGTGAAAAAAGACCGAAATGTGCAACTTGTAAAAACACGTTATCTTACTAACTTGATTATTATTATTATTACTAATCTTTTTTTTTCCTTTGGGAAAGAAAAAAAATACTTGCATGAAATGCTGTAATACGGAAAGTTTTTCCCAAAGGAAACGCTTACAAATTTTTTTTTAATTAAATCAAGAATCACTAATATATTACTTTTATTAATTGGGAATTATCAATAATAATCATAATAATAATAATAATAATAATAATAAAGACCCCAAAGAAATCAACAAATTATTTAACAATTTTACAAATTGACGAGACAAATGATTGGGTTTGAAAGAGAAAGAAAACATACATAGACAATAACATTAAACGTTAAAACAGCGAAATTTCCAAACATTTTCTTTCAGACCAACCATTTCAAGAAAGATTTACCATTTGAGATTATCTTTTTGGTGATGGTATTAGAAAATTTTCTTGGGAAATTTGTCTATCCCACTCATCGTTAGAATGGGTTTAGCTTTCCCAAATAAACTTCAAAATAGAGGTACAAAATAATTAACTGATTTTATTAAAAAAAATATTTTGGTTTGTGTTTTAGTTTGTTGACATCTTTAAGCGTTTGTACAAATTAAATAAGAAAAATTTCCCCTATTATGAACATCCGAATATTAATATGATGAGAATTTTTCATATATTTTATTGAATCTTAAAGTACTAAAGGTAGATCACATGAACATGGGAATATTGACTCTACTTGGCGGGAGTATTTACTGGTTTTTGGCGGGGGTTAATAACAGAATTAAAATTATTAAGGGGAAGGCTGTGCGAGGGGTGACAGATAATTCCGAGCTACAATCTATGATGTAATGTGTAACTTCAATTATTGATTTTGCAAAAATAAAATATATTCTTCCACCACGAACGGATTTAAGGTAAAATTAAAAAATCTTGGCTTTGAATAATATAGGAAAAGTCAATGGTGATGATGTTACACGAAAAAAAATAAACCGAAATCTTTCAATAATTTTTATGGATTGATTTCTTTTCGATATTAAAATGTTTTTCTTGTCATACAAGAAGTGTGGGGTAAAAAAAAGACTAGGTTTATTATAAACTCCTAATGTTGAGATTTCTTTATAATCCTTAATTGACACGAACGTTACGCCAAACTAATCCGGTAAAAGAAAATTTTTTCCGTAATTGCAGGTTTTTTTTATTTATTCACTATTTTAAAGGTGTCAGAATGATGTTGGATAATAAATTTTTCACTTTTTCTTTTGAATATCGCACAAACCTTTCTAAAAAAAGATAAAATCGACAATTATTTTGCTCTAAAGTAAAATCATAATTTATAAAAAGTATATCAACCCATTGAAAATCCCCAACGCAAAAAAATTTCAAAAAAAAAATTTCACTCCCACACTAAAAAGAAAAGGTTTAAATTTTTTTTTTATTGACTAAATAAAGGCAAAAAAAAAAAAAGAAAAAAAAAATTTTTAATGCAAAAAGTCTCTCGACATTTGTTTACAGTCTTTGTAACGAAAAGAGACCAAGAGATACTCTTAAATCTAAAATATTTTTTTTCTGAGAACTTGTTTCGATAACAAATTTTTTTTTCTCAAAATCCATCAACGTAAAGAACAACAAATGGATCTTGACTGGTGCCTCACTTGCTCTCAACACACTTCGGTAAGATCACAAATTTGATTTGATGTATGCTAACATCGGTTAAAACGGTGAAAAGTTCTCGAAATTAATCGCTTCACTCTCTCGTTTTCTTTTTAGGGAACACTTTATTGCTCAGATGCTTGCCGTTTGCAAGACATTTCTTACTCCAACAAGATAACATCATCATCATCTTATTCTTTTTACTCAAAATCGTTCTCTCATAACTCGTCTCCGCATTTCCCGACATACAATTATCGTTCCACGAAAAAAACCATGGCGTCCTCATCAATCACACCTCCACCCACACCTTCACCTACATCAGCGATTTCGACAGCGTTATTTGATCACTCGGGAAGTAAGGATAGTTCTTACCAGTCTTCTAATGATGAAAATGTGATTGCAGCTGCGCAATATACAAAGACGCTTCCGTGGGTGAATCAACGACAACAACAATCGACTGTGCAAAGATTGTCCGTATTTACTTGAATTATATAAAGTCGGTTGGCGTGAAATCAAAAAAAAAAAAAAAATTTTGAAATACGCAAGTTAATGTTTTGTGAATATAAAAAAAAAAGTTTTTTTTTGGCTCTATTAAGCCACATCGCTTGATAATTTTTTTACATTTTTTTTTTTACGGACATTTTTTCTTTTTTCTTTTCTTTTACAACTAAAGAAACAATTAACCACATATATATATATATATATATATCCCCCCTCCCCCCAAAATTTTACTAAAAAAAAGACATTTTATTATTTTAGTTTTTTTTTTTCTTCCTTGTACAGATTTCAAAAAATTTCAAAAACTTTATAAAACTCTTAAGAAGAAAAAACCAAAAGTTTACACGAGAGCCAAAAAAAAACATATGAAAAAATATTTCTATGTATAAAAAATTAAAATCAAAAAACGAAAAATTCCCAACTTCAAAAAAAAATAAACTTTATTTTTTTTTTTTATTATTATGTATTATTATTATTTGTACAGAAAGAATTTCGTAGTATATAATATATATATATGTATATAAAAGTAAAGCATTATTATTAAGATTTCGAACCCCACAAAAAAAAAAAAAATATATAATAATATATATATATTTATTTTTAATTTTCTTTAATTCATTCCGATATAACTTTTAAAAGTAATTCAAAGTGAGATTATCTGTCCATGAAATACAATGGCGCAGAATGTTGTTATTCACCAAAAGATTAATAAGGGTTACACGGTTTCAGAAAAGATGTTTTCACGTAAAAAAAAAAAACTGGGCATGTGAGATTTTTTTTTTCCCTGGTTGGCTTTGGATTTATTTCGTCGCACTGATCAATAGATTTACACGTATGATCGTCAATCACAAAGAATTAATTATAAACCCCCATTTCTTCTTCAATTTCTTGATGTATTGATTTTAACTATAAGAGAAGAGATGTTCTTTGTCTAAAACCCATCCCAAATTCGAATTGGGCTGAATATTCTTTAATAAATTAGTGAATTGAATAATTTCTCTTTTAAACGGAAGAAACTGTTCACCGTCAATGATTCGCACAGATCTGCGATGTACGGTATCAATGATTTACAAGGCCATGTAATGTATGTGCAATGTGATTCAATGTCTAAAGAAGAATTTGAGGCGGGTGGGCGAAAGTTTCCTTTTCGCTCTCACATCATTTCATTCTCTTCTCACTATATTCGTTTAACCATTTTCCCAAAATTGACTTATTTATTTGCCTAAAATGATCTTTTAAACATTTTCTTTCAGTCAGATCGCTTTGCCGCCCTAAATTTCAATTGAAAAATAACGTACCGATCCATCGGTTAACTTTTTTTTTTTTATTTTTAATTCAATTTATTAAATTTTATTGATAACTTAATTTTCTATCAATGGCAAATGGTTGAAATCGTGTTTCATTACTTATTTATTCTCTTTACATAATTTACGGAGATTGTGATTTTTTTTTTTAATGATTGATTATCAATTCAATAAATTAATAAATTGATCCTAAGCTAAACCGAATTAATCATAAATGTGTGAATCTGATAAAAGGTATGTGCATAAGTACATTTGATTATTTATATGGTAAATATAATATAGTACAAGAATGTAGTACCGGGGAACTCTTTCAACATAAAAAAGAAAAATTTCGTCTTCAAAAAACGCCATTTCGAATTATTTTTCACGTACGGTGATGCGTAGCATTAATGATTTACTTTCTAAATTAGGTTAACCCATTCTTGTGCAATTAAAGTAAAACTTTAAAATCACATGGATCTTATTAAATCAGCAATCACCTGATATGGTTCCATAGAAAAAATTCGATTTGATTGGACGTCAAACATATTTTGCAATTTCGAAAAGATTTTGATGATGGAAGCTTACTTGATAAAGTAAGTAATAATCAAAACAAATCAATAGATTAATATAAAGAAAAAAAAAAAATTGGCTAATTTAAAATTTTATATATCGGGACATTCCCTTATGGATTTTAGATTATCAATCAAAATATTTTGCGACCAAAGAATTATATTTACTCATAATTTCTCATAAGTCTATTGAGATTATAATTGATAATCTGGGCCAAGTCAAGTTGATAACGTTGGTGAATTCCGTGAAAAATACATTGTTTGTGCATAATATTTTGGTTTTGGTAAAATCAGTTATATTAAACATTGATTGTAACGTAAAAAATGGTGATTATCAATTTGGCTGCAGATTTGTTGTGAACATAAAAATGAAAGTAAAGATTGAATATAAACGATTATTCTTTATTCGTCTATTTTTTTAAAGAATAAAATTTGGTAAACTTTAATAAATGATGAAAAAAAGTTTTGATTGTTAAAAAAAAAAAATCCCTTGTATTCGTTAGAGGGAGAAATACAGTATGTACAAACCTTTTTGGATTTCCATTCAGCCTTAAAGATAATTTTATGTGAATCACGATTGAATTTCTCGTATTATTTATACAATTTATTATTAAATATTCTTAGTTGATACCTTTGAATAAAACAAATTATATTATCTGCGGAGTATTGTAATAGAGCTGTAATTTGAAATAATTTAAAAAAATTTCTTAAACGGAAAAACGTAAAACTAAAGAATAGTATGATTTTTTAGGTTATAGGTTATAGTTATAGAAGATTAAAGTACTATTATAAAGAAATACAGTACTTTTTTTAGTAATTAATTAATTATATATTTTATTAAAAACTGAATTATACATAGCGTTCTTCACCTATAAATCTTATATACAAACGGTCATTTATATAAATAAAATCTCTTTTTACAAACGTATTTATATTAAAACCAATTATTTACAACAAAAAATAATTTAGGTATAAATTATAATTATATTTATTCGATTTGAAATAGTTATTTTAATTATAATTAAATCCTTTAAATTTAGGTTAGTTTTTCAATAAATTAAATTGCTAATTTTATAATATTAAAAAATAAATTGTATCATTACTTATAATATACTTATAAAGAATAATGAATTACAATATGTCTTGATTTTTATTGTTTAATTAAATAAGTTTATGTAAGCTTATGACAAAAATATACATTATATAATATTTCATTTTTAATTTTCTTTGATATTATAATGATTTTAAAATTTAATATATTATAGTTAAACTATTTAAAATTTTAACTAAATTTATATATTAAAGTTAGAATATAATTTAATAAATATAGACATTTTGCAATAAAAAGAAAGAAAATAACCAAAAAAATAAATTTATTTAAATGTTAAATATGATATTTAGTAAAATAAATTCAGATTTAATATTAAAAAAACTTTTCTCTTTTTAATTGTAAAATATTCATAAAATAAGTAAAAAATATAATAATGATAATAATTTAATATAGAAAGATTGTTAAAAAAAATCAGATTTTGAAAATTTTTAAACAAAATTTTTAATTTTTATTACATTTTAATTTTTGATATTATTAAATTAAAATATAATAAAATCATAATTTTAATCAAAAAAATTCTCAGAGTCTAATTTTCCTAGCAAACTTTTCATTTTTAGAAAATTCTTAAATTATATACAATAATCAAATATTTTATTATTTTATTATATACAAATATAATAATTTAAGATTTTGATTATCAGATATCTTTATTATAAAAAAAAATATATTGATAAAGAAAGTTTTTAGTTTAAATATAATAAATTATTTTTTTACTTTTTAATCTATTATTTATTAATTTATAATTTAAAATTTATAATTTTAGTTATTGTTATTAATCTAAATAATTAATATAAAAATTTAATTATTAATTTTAATTATTAAATCAAATTAAGTATTTAATTTATTAATTAATTATTTGTAAATATTAGTTATATAATACTAGAAAACAAGAATTTTTATTAAGTCTAAATTTTATCTAAATTTTTTGTACAATTGTAAAAACAATCAGTAATGACTTAATTATTAAGCAGGTAAATAATAAAACACCTTGTGTAATCTTAAACCTATATATATATAGGAGAATTTTAGGTTTTAAAAAATTTTTGATTAAAATTAAGAGTTTAATGCATTTTAATCTAATAACATTAAAAACTAAAATGTAATAAAAATCTTAATTTTGTTAAAAATTTTCCAGAATCTAAGTTTCCTAACAATCAACCTATATAGTCCTTCACTTTATTATAGACTAATTATTTTAAATAGAATTTTTTATATAAATTAAATCATAATCTTTTATCAAATTATAATATAATTATTATATTATAATTATAAATTTTTTAATTAAAATATATTATATATTTATTATATAAAACTTTATTTTAATAATTAAGTTATTATATATAAAAAATTAACTTTAATTTTATAATTTTTTTTTATTTATATAAAAAGTACTTTATTAATAAACAAATTAAAAATTTTTTAATTTTAAATTAATATAATTTTAATTAATATAAATATATAAAATTTATTATAAAATTTTTATTTTTTAAAACAAATTTAAAATTTTATATAAGTTATTTAAAAAATTCTATTTGTATACAGGTATATTATACATAAAATATGTGACATTACTATTATTAATATTATTTTTACTAATATTAAGAAATTAAGAAAATATTTATAATAAATAGAATTTATTTATTGTTAATTTTTTACAAAATATTCATGATATTACCTATAAACAAGATGATAATTTTGATTTTAAAGAAATTCAAAATAAGCAAATTTGTTTGTAATGTTTTAACATTTAAGAGAGAAAAATATTATTTAAAAAAATTAATTTTTAAAATTAATAATTTTTTAAAATTATTTAAGACTAAAACTAATTAAGATATTTTTAATTTTAAAAATAACTGTTAAATCAATATTGCTATTACAAAATTTTCTTTTAATAGATTTTTTTTAAAAAATCATAAATAAGCAAAGATAGAATCTCAGATTAATTATTATTAAAATAATCAATATAATTTATTATTAATTTAGCATTTATCTAATTATTTTCTTAAACTAAATTATTATATT